GAGAGAGAGAGAGAGAGAGAGAGAGAGAGTGCAGAATCCAGTCAGGTGGGAAGATCTCTGGATATATTAGACAAACACAATATCAATACAATATTATTAATGTTAAGAACACCTCCTAATTATCTCAAGTTTGTGTTGTTTAGGTTACAGATTTTGAACTTTATGATCAGATCATTTCATTTAGAGATTACATATTTAAAATAAACAGAAATAAGGAAGTGCTTTTCTGTCACACAAGTGACTTTTCTGTCCAGTCGTACAAACTCACAATCCTTCATCCAAACCATTCAACACTTTTGCTAAAATAAGAATCCTTGTTAAAGATGATAAATGAATTTTTGACACCGAAAGACTTGAGTTACTTACCACAGTCAGTCCTCATCTGTCACAGAAGCTCATACTGCGGAAACAGAAATACAGAACGATCAAATATAAACAGAAATCAACAAAATAAACAAATTTGCTCCACATCTGCCTCCTGTTTTGTCATATCACTGGCGTCTTTAATATTTGTGTATTAATGACGTTTCTTTCATAATGCTGCTTGATAAATAAGCACAATGTTTTCTCACACTGTATCACCTGTAATACTTACAAACTTGTCTTTTTTTCTTGTAGCAAATCACAGCAACAGCAGCTACAACCACCAGCAGAGCAACAACACCAACAACAATCCCTGCTATTTCTGCTGGAGACAGACCTGAGTGAACTGAAGACAGAGAGTCATTAGTGTAACACTGACAGTGAGCTCAGAGCAGTCGGTTTCTAGCAGATGATTCTACAGTGTACAAAAAAAGTTGCAAATAAAAAAGATTGGAGATTTTTTTTTTTTCAGATTTCTACTTCAAAATTTCATTCATTTCAATGTCTTGCTGGTTCTTTGTAACTGTTTGTAAAATCACTATTTCAAAGTGGAAATTGTTTTTACACTATTTTTTAATACTGCATTAGTGTATTTGTTTAATAGTTTTAATAGTGTATTTTTAATAGGGAATCAGCCTGTATCAGGAGACAGATCTCTTTCTGCGTTCTCATTGTCCGTCATCACATCACTTTCATTTGCTTTGTCCTATTGATTGTAACATCTCAAATTATAATGATTTTCGTATTCACTACTGATGCGGTTTTACTGAAATACAGCACTGAATTCAATTACAATATTGTAAGTAGTAAATAACACGGATTTAACAGTTAAAAATACTACATGCTAACAGTTGTTACTATGCTGTTAGACCGACAGGTGCCTCTCTTAGCTTACATTATCAATGCATTAAAGGCATAGTTCACCCAGAAATGACAATTCTGGCATCCTTATTCACCATCGAGTCGTTCCAAACCTGTATGATTTTTTTTCTTGTGCTGAACCCAAAGTAAGATATTTTGGGTAACCAAACAGTTGCTGGTCCCCATTGACTCCCATAGTATTGAAAAGAAATACAATGGGAATCAAAGGGGACCAGCAACTGCTTAGTTGCCCACAATATCTTCCTTTATGTTCAATAGAAGAAGGTTTGGAACTCGAGCGCGAGTAAAGGATGACTGTGAATCATTTTTGGCTGAACTATTCCTTTTAAAGGGTTAGTTCACCCAAAACTGAAAATTCTGTCATTAATTACTCACCCTCGTGTTGTTCCAAACCGGTAAGACCTTCGTTCATCTTTGGAACATAATTTAAGATATTTTGGATGAAATCTGAGAGCTCTCTGACCCTCCCATAGACAGCAAGGTAACTACCACGTTCAAGGTCCAGAAAAGTACCAAGATGATCGACAAAGTAGTAGCTACGAGAATACTTTTTTTGCGTATTTTTAAACCAAAATAACGACTTTATTCCACATTTTCCGAGCGTGTGGCGGTGCCAGCGCTGAACCAGATCCGGCGTGATAACGTCATTACGCTGGATCTGGGTCAGTGCCACCACACGCTCGCGTCATGATACTGTCGTGAACGTGTGTCCAAAGTGACGCAGTAAAGATGAAAATGTGGAATAAGGGCCTTTCGCACCGCAGGAACCTTTTCATAGTACCAGAACTAATTGTGGAACTACCCACTTTTTGGCGTGTTCGCACCGCCGGAACCTGAGAAAATTATAGACACAAATATATAAAAAAAAAAATTCCGATAAGTACATTGGTTTGTCTTTCAGTTGACTACAGCTTCAGGATGGTTTTGCCGTTCAAACCTCCACCCAATCACATCATATCTCTGTGAGCTCACATTATGACTAATAGTTCCAAACCACATTTCAAGTCTGGAGGAGACTTCCTGGAAAAAGTGACAACAAACAGTACCAACAGTTCAGTCATACATTTTGTGTTACTACACGACTAAACAGTGGTCACTCTAATAAAAGCCATTGTTCATTTGTAGAGGTTATGTTTAGGGTTCCGTGATTATCAGTGATCACATGACTTCCGTTTTGTGAGGTCTTGTTTTTTGGGGAAACGTTCCGCCACCATTCTACATACAGTTAAATTAAAACAACATCCAGTTGATTTCTTATAACTGGAAATCAGATTCATCAAGACGCATGGACACGTTGCACATCTTGCATGTTTAACAGTTCCATTTCAGAGAATTTAAGTTGAGACATTCTGTTGAATTATGTAAATAATCTAATAATAAAAACGGGAACGCATTAGACACTCACCACTGACATTGAATGTCTTCCGTAAGACCTTCGTTCATCTTTGGAACATAATTTAAGATATTTTGGATGAAATCTGAGAGCTCTCTGACCCTCCCATAGACAGCAAGGTAACTACCACGTTCAAGGTCCAGAAAAGTACCAAGATGATCGACAAAGTAGTAGCTACGAGAATACTTTTTTTGCGTATTTTTAAACCAAAATAACGACTTTATTCCACATTTTCCGAGCGTGTGGCGGTGCCAGCGCTGAACCAGATCCGGCGTGATAACGTCATTACGCTGGATCTGGGTCAGTGCCACCACACGCTCGCGTCATGATACTGTCGTGAACGTGTGTCCAAAGTGACGCAGTAAAGATGAAAATGTGGAATAAGGGCCTTTCGCACCGCAGGAACCTTTTCATAGTACCAGAACTAATTGTGGAACTACCCACTTTTTGGCGTGTTCGCACCGCCGGAACTGGGAGCGATTTTAGTACCGGACTGCCTTTTTCGAGAACCAAATTAGCTCCTACTCCGGAGCAGGGTCTATCTATGGTTTGTTGTAGATCATTGCGGTAGACCCTTTTGCTGCCTCAGAAGTCTGTCTGAAATACCTTTGTATGCAAAAGCTGCCTTAGATTTAGGCAGTTATATCAAATTTCAGTAAATATTTAAGTAAAATCCGAATAGTTTAAAATCTGGATTTCCCATTCTGTGCTCTTAAATGGAAACTAACAGGGTTCCAAAAGAAACTGATATAAATATATTTCATATAGGATTGTTAACAATTGATCAATATGTATATTGACAAACATCAGCATCTGCATATCCAAAGCCACAAATAAACACCTATACGGAGATAATACTAATAGCATAGCCTTAAAAAACACGGAATTCATTAATTTAACTATAACAGACATCTTTTAAAGTGTATTACACTTGAATTATAACGCAATATAGTTACAAAAAAATACTATTTTTGACTATTTTACAAAGAGAAACCGAAAGTGTTTAAGAAAGAGACATAAATATTACCTTCCATAGAGAATAAGAACATAAAGTACAAAGAGACGCTTTTCATACTGCTGTAGAAATCAGCAAAAAGGGAGTTTCCGAAGACGTTCAGAGGATATTATCTGTAATCTGCTCCGGAGTGTTTGTAACGTTAGGTGTGTCGCAATCAAACCGATCGACAGAATCAATGACTGGAAAACAGACCGAAGAGGCTTTAAATCGACTGAGAATGCTCTTGATTATATCTGAGTTTAGAGTAAGAGTTTATAGGTCGTTATCTTTTATTATCCTGAAGGAAAAAGGCGCACAAACACGGCCGCGTCTTCTTTTGATTTGATTAATGATGATGAATGGATGCATTACCGCCACCTACCGGACTGGAGCAGGAACAGCAGGACAGAAAGGCGAAGAAGAAAAAAGAACCTTTAATCAAGTTTTAGTTTTTGTCAAACATTTCTTGGAAAGAGACAGATGGTTTGTTAAGGTTATTAATTTGACTATATGTATAGGCTACATTTGCCATTTTTTATGTTTGGAATGAATAATAATAATAATTAATACAAATATTTAGTTTTATTCAGCATCCAATACAAAGTAGGTTATCTGTCTGCATAGCTACCACTTGTATTTATGCATTAACACTGATGCAATATTGAGCATTTTCCACTCAAAAAACAAAACAAACAAAAACACACTTGCTAATGCTAATGAGGGGTAGTGAAGGGAATCCACTTAATATAGCTACAATAAAGTGCATTAGTGCCCGTCCACTTTTTCAGCAGTGCTGGTTCTGGAAGTATTTAAACCATAAGCCAAGAACCATGCCAACCAGCTAAGATGAGAATCACAACATTACAAACTTTTATTTGAAGCATAAAAATGCATGAAAATCGGACAAAACAACAAGACTTACACTTAACAGCTTTGGTGAGGGAAAGAACTACAATCCCATGAAGCATTGCCAATGACATAAATTAAAAACAATGGAGAAATATACAACTATTCCTTTAAAGTTGTTTATTGTGCGCCGTGTAAACATAAAACCATGTCTGAATAAATAAGCTGAATAAATAAGCTTTCCATTGATGTATGGTTTGTTAGGATAGGACAATATTTAGTCGAGATACAACTATTTGAAAATCTGTAAAAAAAAAAATTCCGATAAGTACATTGGTTTGTCTTTCAGTTGACTACAGCTTCAGGATGGTTTTGCCGTTCAAACCTCCACCCAATCACATCATATCTCTGTGAGCTCACATTATGACTAATAGTTCCAAACCACATTTCAAGTCTGGAGGAGACTGGAAAAAGTGACAACAAACAGTACCAACAGTTCAGTCATACATTTTGTGTTACTACACGACTAAACAGTGGTCACTCTAATAAAAGCCATTGTTCATTTGTAGAGGTTATGTTTAGGGTTCCGTGATCGTCAGTGATCACATGACTTCTGTTTTGTGAGGTCTTGTTTTTTGGGGAAATGTTCCGCCACCATTCTACATACAGTTAAACTAAAACAACATCCAGTTGATTTCTTATAACTGGAAATCAGATTCATCAAGACGCATGGACACGTTGCACATCTTGCATGTTTAACAGTTCCATTTCAGAGAATTTAAGTTGAGACATTCTGTTGAATTATATCTGTAATCTGCTCCGGAGTGTTTGTAACGTTAGGTGTGTCGCAATCAAACCGATCGACAGAATCAATGACTGGAAAACAGACCGAAGAGGCTTTAAATCGACTGAGAATGCTCTTGATTATATCTGAGTTCAGAGTAAGATTTTATAGGCCGTTATCTTTTATTATCCTGAAGGAAAAAGGCGCACAAACACGGCCGCGTCTTCTTTTGATTTGATTAATGATGATGAATGGATGCATTACCGCCACCTACCGGACTGGAGCAGGAACAGCAGGACAGAAAGGCGAAGAAGAAAAAAGAACCTTTAATCAAGTTTTAGTTTTTGTCAAACATTTCTTGGAAAGAGACAGATGGTTTGTTAAGGTTATTAATTTGACTATATGTATAGGCTACATTTGCCATTTTTTATGTTTGGAATGAATAATAATAATAATTAATACAAATATTTAGTTTTATTCAGCATCCAATACAAAGTAGGTTATCTGTCTGCATAGCTACCACTTGTATTTATGCATTAACACTGATGCAATATTGAGCATTTTCCACTCAAAAAACAAAACAAACAAAAACACACTTGCTAATGCTAATGAGGGGTAGTGAAGGGAATCCACTTAATATAGCTACAATAAAGTGCATTAGTGCCCGTCCACTTTTTCAGCAGTGCTGGTTCTGGAAGTATTTAAACCATAAGCCAAGAACCATGCCAACCAGCTAAGATGAGAATCACAACATTACAAACTTTTATTTGAAGCATAAAAATGCATGAAAATCGGACAAAACAACAAGACTTACACTTAACAGCTTTGGTGAGGGAAAGAACTACAATCCCATGAAGCATTGCCAATGACATAAATTAAAAACAATGGAGAAATATACAACTATTCCTTTAAAGTTGTTTATTGTGCGCCGTGTAAACATAAAACCATGTCTGAATAAATAAGCTGAATAAATAAGCTTTCCATTGATGTATGGTTTGTTAGGATAGGACAATATTTAGTCGAGATACAACTATTTGAAAATCTGGAATCTGAGGGTGCAAAAAAAATCTAAATATTGAGAAAATCATCTTTAAAGTTGTCCAAATGAAGTTCTTAGCAATGCTTATTACTAATCAAAAATGAAGTTTTGATATATTTGCAGTAGAAAATTTACAAAATATCTTCATGAAACATGATCTTTACTTAATATCCTAATGATTTTTGGCATAAAAGAAAAATCTATAATTTTGATCCATACAATGTATTTTTGGCTATTGCTACAAATAAGCCCCAGCTACTTAAGACTTTTGGTTTTGTGAAAAAAAGGTTTTGTGCTCCAGGGCCACATATTGTATTGCAACATATAAGAAAACAGAAAATTAAATAATGCAATATGATACAGAAGTAGAAATACTGAGAAAAAACAACAACATATAATAGTTTTAATGAATGTACAGATGTTATTTAAAAGTGTACAGTTTATGTAATTTCCTTTTTTTTAAGTTTAACCGAAGAAAATACACCTTCTGAAGCTGCTCATATTAGCCAATTAGAATATTGCTTAAATGAAGGGAAGTTTTTCAAAGAGAAATGGTGCAAGATTCCTGTTGACCACTGTGTTGCAAATACAGGAAACGTTTGGTGGAAGTTACTGCAGCCAGAGCAGGAACAACCACTGAAAAATGATTTTCTCAAAGCCATGACTTCTCTCTCAAGAAAGTCAAGAAAACATACATTGTTTGTGTTTCATTTAAATTTTATCACTAGTTTATGCTGAAATTTAGGTAGAAGTAAATGAGGTTCCCTTTCTTTGGCCTAAAATTGCCTCTTGCAATATTTTTAATTTGGAAACTAAGCTATAGTATTCGATTCTAGACTCGATTACTAAATTAATCTAGTCCAAACAAGATTGGGAAAGGGCGTAAATCAATACAGTATCATTAATGTGATGGCAGACAGCTCTGTGAAAACATGAGAGAGTGTGGTTGAGGAAAAAAAAGAACAGCATGAGAAGTACAACCCACAACAGACACGCACTAACACAGACTGCAGCAGTTTACATCTCAGTGACAATAGACACTCTACAGGACTTTTATTTCTCCTTTTCTCAGCTGCTGGAGAAGATGTTTCACTTGTTTGTTTTTTGCAGTTTGTGCTTTTGGCATCTGGTTGGTAAGTTCGAAACATTTTTATAGTTTCAATTGTACCAGACTCATAAAACAAAGTATGATTTCACGGTGAGATCTCGTCTGTGTTTGTCCTCACATTCAGTGCATTTTCTATTTCTATCCTGAATTATGAAATCGGAAACCGATGAAGTCGAAGTGTTCTAAACATCGGTCGGCTTTTAAATTAAGCTTATGTCCAATCAGAATTTCAGACTGGAAAGGGTATAAACTGTATTTAAAAATGTAAAACCAAAAAAATGACTTTCCTACATTCCAAAAGCCAAATGTACAGATACGGCAGTATTACTGACTTTATTGATTTATATCAGTTTAGTCAGGTAATATACAGTTTATGAGACTGTATAATAATGTTCATTCAGCTCCTCTAGAGAAAACAAGTGTCTTTCTTTGCTTGCTATTGAAATAACGGACCATTATAAATGCCGGTCTGAAAGAAGATCATTCTGTTGTGTTTTGATGAACACTGAAGAAGCCTGTTAGCCAAAACCTGTATTATTTTATGCCCTGTTGTGATTTACTAAATATCTTCTGAAGGATATCTTGTAGAGTACACTGTAAAAAATGACTGTGAATTTAACGGTAAAAGACTGTAAAAATGCTACAGTAAAAACCTGTTAAATGGTTAACGGTAAATTCCCCTACTATATACGGTGAAAAACTGTATTGGACATTACATGTATTGGACATTAATTTTACGGTAGTATACCGTTTTTGGAAGTGAAAAAGACCATATAATTTACAGTGAATAACCGTACATTGACATTCCCAGAATTGATGTTTTTTTGTTGAAATAACTGTTTCTTAGTTTTTTCTTATCAGTTTTGTATATTAGGGTTGTGTGTTACACCTAATGTTGTTAAATGAATGTTTATTGCATTATTTCAGTTTCATGTGTGTTACCATGATGGTGTTTGTGTGAATGACACTGTGCACCTTCTATATATGTTATTATTTAAAAGCTGCTTGTGATGGGCTTTGTTTCATCATGTGACTTTCTCATCACCTCCTGCATTTGGTGGTTATCAGTGCATTACAAAGCTACAAAACAGATTTCAGTACTTCAATAGGTTGGTATATTAACATTATATCAGTTAATGAAATTACGGTATTTAACTGTAAATTTAAGTTTTACGGATTTTTTTTTACAGTGTACAGAACTTGTTTTGGGGGGGGATTTTGTTGAACATGAAAATAATCTTGTGCTGATAAAATACTGTGAGAAATGAAACATGCACTAATGAAATCACAGCAGCAGAAGAACTAGTTTGTTGTCATTTCACAGTTTTAAAAAGTTGCCTCGTGAAAATAGTGCAATAGAAAGGTGAAATTGAGAGATCTGTGTGTTTGGTTCATAGATTTTTGGGCACCAACTACAAACAGTGTTCACACAGACTATAAGATGATGACTAATGATGAGGATACTGTATATCTTTGCGATGCTTCACATAAATCTTCATATACAGTACACGATGCCCTGACCTAATGGTTAAAAGTTTTGTTTTCAGCAATTCTACTTGCCTAAAATCATCACCAGAGAAGCTGATGTCCAATTAAATGTACTCAAAATTATCTGTTTTATTTCACTTCTGATGTTTAAGTTCAATGAGAGCCGGTGCCAGTGTGGTCTGAGCTGAACTAGAATAAAATCAGCTCAAATAGTCACTTTTTTAAAGGGTCTCACTTCACTGCAGTGTTCAGAGTCTCACTTTAATGTCAAAGCCAAAAATAAAAGTTTGTGATCATTTCAAAACTACAAGCTTAAAGACAAACATTGATTAAACCAGTGTTAAGATATTTATTTTTTACTTTAACAAGAACTAATGTGTGACTGAGTCTGTTTTCCAGTGTTTGCTGATTCAGATGCAGCGAAGTCAGTGTCAGTGACGGAGGGAGGTTCAGTCTCTCTAGAATCTGGTGTTACTGAAATACAGACAAATGATCTGATAACATGGACTTTTGGACATCCAGAGACTCGTATAGCTCGAATCAGTAAAGAGGATGGAATCTTCTCTACATCTGATGGTGATGCTGTGGGATTCAGAGACAGACTGCAGCTGGATCATCAGACTGGATCTCTGACCATCACAAACACCAGAACCACAGACTCTGGACTTTATACAGTAAACATCAAAGGCACGAAACTGACCACATATAGATTCAGAGTTACTGTCTATGGTGAGTCACAATTGTACAGGTGTGCTTGTTCTGTCTATACTATTTATTAGAAAATTAATCTTAAGATGGGCTTCTTACCAGTGGCTTAACGTGGATGATTTGGCCTTCATTCCTAAAACATTTGATGGTCCTCCATCACTTCCACAGCTTACAAGAACAAATGCAAATACAATTTTTGGAATACCCCAATTCCAAAAAAGTTAGGACGTTTTGCAAAATGCCATAAAATCAAGAATATGTGATTTATTCATTCTCTTTAACCTTTATTTAATTGATAAAAGTACAAAGAACAGATTTCCAATGATTTAACTAGCCAACTTAATTGTATTTTGTTAATTTAAACAACTTTTGATATTGATAGCTGCAACACACTCTGAAAAAGTTGGTACAGAGGCATGTTACTCTGCCAAACCAACTTTCCTTTTAATTACACATTTTAATAGTCTGGGAATAAAGGATGCTCGCTTGATACAAGACTGCTCATCACTTTGTAGTCATCGTTGTACTTCTTTTCATGCCAGGTCAAACATTTTCAATAGAAGACTGATTTGCTGGCCAGTCAGTCACATCCACACGTGTCTACAAAACCACACTGTTGTAGCACATTTTCGATTTTTCTTTTATGCCAAAAATCATTAGGATATTAAGTAAAGATGTTCCATGAAGATATTTTGTAAATGTCCTACCGTAAAAATATATCAAAACTGAATTTTTGATTAGTAATATGCATTGCTAAGAACTTTAAAGGCACTTTTCTCAGTATTTTTATTTTTTTGCACCCTCAGATTCCAGATTTTCAAATAGTTGTTGTATCTCGGCCAAATATGGTCCTATCCTAACAAACCATACATCAATGGAAAGAAAATCAATGTAGAAATCTCAATTTAAAAAAATTGACCCATATGACTGGTTTTGTGGTTCCATTTGTATATACACATGCCAGTCACCCATGCCGTTTGCACTGATAAACCCCCATACCATCACAGATGTTTGCTTCTGCATCTGTCGCTAATGAAAATCTGGATGCTCCCTTTTGTCTTTGCCACTGAAAATCTGATGTTTGTTTTCCCCTCTTTTGGACCATCTGAGATAAGTTCGGACCCAGAGAACTCATTGGCGTCTCTGCCTAGAATTTATGTATACATTTCTCCTTGTGTAAATAGAGTTTCAAGTAGCATTTCTTGATGCAGACTGTGGTTTTCCATAGTACTCCTGAACACATGTGGCTATATTTAACACAGCAATGGCATCTGAGAGCTCATAGGTTGCATAAACCTCAAAGGTGAGGTTTCCCTCCTCACTCTACGCATACTGAGATTTCTCTGGATTCTCATCACAATATTATGCATGGTATAGAAGATGGTGAAATACCTCAATTCTTTGCAATTTTGCATTGAGAAATGTGATTTTCTGACAATTCTGTCATGAAATTTGGCACAAAGTGATGAGCCGTGATCCAGCTTTCCTGGCGAAGACTGAGATGCTCCTTTTACACCCAATCATGATCCCCTCACCTGTTACCAGTTCACCAGCTTATCGTGGACTGTTTCAAAACAGTTTAACATGGACATTCTATGATCTTTTCACTTTTATTATGCCTCTGTGCCAACTGTTTTGAAGTGTGTTGCAGCCATCAAAATAGTAATAAAAAAATAATCATTATATTTACAAAATACATTTAAAGGAACACTCCACTATTTTTGAAAATAGGCTCATTTTCCAACTCCCCTAGAGTTAAATAGTTGAGTTCTACCGTTTTCGAACACTTTTAGCTTTTGAGCACTTTTAGCTGTAGCTTAGCATAGATCATTGAATCTGATTAGACCGTTAGTTAGTGTAGCAAGGGGCCCAGTTGTAGTGACTACGCCACCCCGGACTACCAGGGAAAATAACCCAAATAAGGGCACTCAAATATGTTCCACATGAAAAGAGCAAGAGGTGTGAATCTCCGTATAAACAATCTTTTATTAAAGCTAAAAGAATGGGCTAATATTAATTTAAAATCCACAGCTGGCACACACCAATGTCATAGGTTCAAAAGAAGACAACAGAAAACATCCAAATAATAATGCTGTAGAAAGCGGAGACTTCCTATATGACAAGCGGGTGAATGTAACAGCACCAGGTACGCAAAAGAGAAAAATCACACCAACCCGTATCACACGCACAAGACTCACTGCAAATAGTAACAGCGATAGTGACACAAAATGGCCACCCCGAGTTAAATAATGTCCGTGGTGCTGTCAAAACCCAGCCCGCTCCTGGAAGCACTCCACTCCTACAAACAAAAGAAAAGAGAACATCACATTAAAAATAAACCACAAATTGAATGTCCATATTCACAACAAAAGAAAACATCAACTTTTGAAAAATAATTCACAGAGTAAGAGAAAACAATTTCAAATCACTCAAAACAATGCCAAACAGAAAACAAATAAACGAACAAACATCAAGCCCACTTGAATACTAGATATGGACGTAATTAAACCCCCAAAAGCAGCAGCGTGGCTCGAACAATGCAGAATAGGGAACAAGCTGTATTAATTACCGCTCCCGGTCAACCTATTAATACGATGGTGTAATGCTCATGACAACAGACTTAAAAATCATACAACAACCTCTTTAAAGGCTCCTCTTTAAAAGGTGACCGTGACAACAGCTGGTGCTACGACCTGGGCTGCGTTACACTGCGAGGCCACAATCAATGGGGGCC